GTAGTAACGTTCAAGGGCTGAATTTGGGGTTTTTCTTTGAGAAAATTGCAATAAGACCCCTGTATTATTTCAAAATATTCTAAAAACCTCTAAAATTTTATCCAACCATAATTTAACCCCAATTTCATCAATTAATTAACCAATCTAACCAATGACCCCGATTTTTCAAAATTGGGTAATCCGACGTTGACTTTCCTTTTAACTCGGTTGACTCTTTTTTCGATTGATTTTTTTTGCCGCTGTTGACCGATGTTGAATGTCGGGTTAACAACGTTGACATTTTTCTCTTGATTTTAATTTTATTTTTATTTAAATTGTTGAATAATGGAAAAATATAATTTAAAAAAAATCAAAGCTGATAATCGGCAAGAAAAAAATATCATAAAAAAAGTCAAAATAAAGAAAAAAAGAAAAAGTCAACGCATCTCAATAACGGAAAAAATTTAAGACAAAAAAAAAGATAAAATTAACGGCCAGTGTTAGCCCCAAAAACTGTTGTACTAGAGTTGTTATCTCATTCCAAATTACCGCACATGCCAAATTCATCTTCTTCATATTTTCTTGGGAGTAAATTTGGGATGCACTTGCGGTTCCACGAAGAAAAAATTGAGGGGAACAAATTATGGATTTTAGAATTTTTTTAAATTGTAGTTAGGCCCTAGAATTTTGGATAAAAACTTTATTAGAAGTTTGTAATTTTAATATTATGATACTAGATATTAATATAGTATTAGTATTGTGTTCTACGGTAATTGTGTTGATTAAAAAAAAATCACAAGAGAAAGTTCATAAAAAAATAAGAAAAATAAAAAAAGTCAACATTGTTAACCTAGAATACAATGTCGGTGAACGGCGTCAAAATCAATATTAAATAAAAAAGTCAATGCCGAAAAAAAAGTAAAAAAAAAAAAAATGTCGGTCAAAGGTTAGCGGAAATGCTGGTAAAAATCGGGGTCGTTTGTCAAAATTGATTAAATGATGAAATTGGGGTTAAATTAGGGTTGAATAAAATTTTAGGGGTTTTTAGAATATTTTATAGGAATGCTGGGGTCTGAGTGCAATTTTTATCTATAAAAAATCCCAAATTTAGCCCTAATTCAACAGTTGACTGTTACTTCTTGATGGTCAAACAGACGGAGGGATCAAATGTGTTAAAATGTATCAACATTAGTGTTTATTTTGTTGACGGCGGTAAATGAGGACCAAAAGTGAAAAACGTACAAATTTGGGGGACCAAAACTGTAATTATCCCTTCATAATTCATAGTTCCTTTATTTATTTATTTTTATTTATTATTTTTTTTTCATGCCAAAAATGAAAAACTTGTGTGTTCAAGCTATTTTAATCTACAATTTTCTAACTTGTGATTCTTTCTCCTATGGAAGAATTTCAATCAATGAAGAGTGGGCTTTTTTTTCTTGAGAGGTAAAACATTTTCTTAATTTATTTACTTAGCGCTGGGTTTTCCTTTTTCTTTTTCTTTTTTTCTTTTTTTTTTTCTGTTTCTGATTTAAATTTTGTATGATAAAAGTTTTTTAATTCAATTAGGGTACGAGAAATTGCCAAAAACGACGACGTTTTAATGCAATTTTGTGAATTGGTTGATGATTTTGCAATTTATTGTTTTTCCAGTAATTAATGGCTTCCAATTTTGTTTAATTATTTTTTCAGATAGTTAGGTATTGAGAAGATGGAAATTATATCTTGCCATACTGCACGTAACTGCAGCATTGCGAACTTTAGATGCGTAAATGACTTAAATCGGCATAAATTCGAGCTTCCCCTAACACGAAAAGTTTCGTTTTATAATGCAATTGGATCGTGTTTTCGTTTAGATAGGTTAAGGTTAAGTAAACTTGATCAGTGCCGGTCTTCTAGAACAATGTGCTCTCTCGACACTTACGAAAACGTCGATGATTCGAGCGTCGTAAGTGAGAATCACGAAACTTACGTACCGAAGGTCGAAATTCCTAGTTTGCCGGATAAAGGAAACGACGACAATGCAGCTCATATCAGCAGCTGTTTTTGGGAGTGGAAGCAGAAACTAAACGTCCATTACGAAAAATCGGGATCGGAAAATAGTAAAGATTCGCCAGCTGTCCTTTTTCTTCCGGGATTCGGCGTGGGGTCGTTTCATTTCGAAAAACAGTTGAGGGATCTCGGTTGTGATTATCGGGTGTGGGCACTGGATTTTGTTGGCCAGGGCATGTCTTTGCCTTTTGAAGATCCGACTTTTCGGTTTCGTGACGGAAACGAGGATGCGTCGGATAACGAAGAAATTAGTTTTTGGGGTTTCGGAGACGAAAGTGAGGTTTGGGCTAAAGAGTTGGTTTTTTCGGTTGATTTGTGGCGGGATCAAGTTCGTTGTTTTATCGAAGAGGTACACCGAAAACTTTGTGCGCGTGTGTTACTTATTTTTATTAAAATATTTCGTGTTCCTAGTTTGAGTGATCGATAAATTCTAACTCGTCGTGTTCTTGGATTCAAGAAACTTTGTGTTAATTGATTATATTACTCGATAAATAATTGGAAAGATCGAACCGTATTAGTACTTTAATTTGTGAATATCGCAGGTGATTCAAGAACCCGTTTATCTAGTCGGAAATTCGCTCGGAGGATTTGTGGCAATTTATTTTGCAGCATGTCATCCCGAATTAGTGAAAGGTGTAACGTTGCTCAACGCAACTCCTTTTTGGGGATTTCTCCCTAACCCCCAAAAATCTCCGACATTATCGAAACTCTTCCCGTGGTCCGGAACATTCCCCCTCCCTTCGACTGTCCGAATATTGATAAAACTTTTGTGAGTCTTTAATTTGTCATATAATTAGTACTTTTATGTCCGAAAAAATGCATTTTCCGATGTTTTATTTTTTTTTGTAGATGGGAGAAAATAAGTGATCCGAGAACTATTGCGGAAATATTGAAGCAAGTTTACGCAGACTACTCAACGAAGGGCGATGAAGTCTTTTCACGTATAGTCAAGACAACGCAACATCCAGCTGCTGCTGCATCTTTTGCTTCAATTATATTTGCTCCTAAGGGACAGTTATCTTTCGACGAAAGCTTAACTAGGTTTGCTGCAATAGAAAACTCACGTATGCAAAACGAAAGAGTTAATTGCTTTTAGTACCCCTGTGTTATACTGAATTGCTAAAAAACTCCCCATATTATAAATATTAACAAGAAAAGAATCCATGCGATACATTTTTTTAGCACACGACCTTCTAAATGGTGCGTTTTTAGGAGGTAGTTTGCTGATAAAATTGAATTTTAGGGGTGGTTTTGCTGATATTTATAACATGGGGAGTTTTCTGACAATTAGAGTAAATATAGGGGTGTTAAATGCAATAAAACAAAAATTAAACTATATTTCTCTTTCACCAAGTAAGAATAATATGTGCTTGCTTTTATGATTGCAGGTGTCGAATGAACAATACACCTATTTGTCTCATGTACGGGAAGGAAGATCCGTGGGTGAGGCCCGTTTGGGGTTTGCAGGTAAAACGGAAAGTTCCGGAAGCTCCGTATTACGAGATAAGTCCTGCGGGCCATTGCCCTCACGATGAGGTTCCTGAGGTTAGCTCGTTTGCTCCTTAAATGCTATCAAAGGCTATTTGCGTAAATTCAACTAATCGCATGAAAATTCGCAAACTTTGCGCGACCGAATTACGAGATTAAGTGGTTTGTTTGGCATTTCACTTTTGGCCACAAAAAAGTTTATGCTAATAAAGAATAGGTCAAATTACGGCCACCCCTCAGGTATGACTCAATTACGAAAAAAAACCCCTCTTGTTTGGGTAATTACAGCCACCCCCTCCTTTTAAATATTTTTACATAAAATTTATGTAATTCGATTATCCACCGAACCAAATCGTATATTTAGTTCGGTTAACGGTATAAAATGTTGGCTGTAATTACCCAAATAAGAGGGAGGTTTTCGTAATTTGACCATAACTCAGGGGTGGCCGTAATTTGCCCTAAAGAATAACATTGAGATTTCGACAATTCGGTAAGTAAAAGGGTGCATATGCAAAAAAAAAAAAAAATTAATAGTGATTTCTTGATCTGTTTGTTGTTTATTATGTATAGAATTGTCTTAGTGTTGTTATTTGGGTTTATCGCATTCGCACCCCTGTATTTATTCTAATTGCTAAAATAGTCCTTCTATTATTTAAATTAGCAAAATAAACCATATAATGCAACTTTTTAAGGGTATGTGTGCTAAAAATCTCACCACTTAAGGGTATGTGTGCTGCGAAAAATGCGCTATAGGGATAATTTTGCTAATATTAATAAAACGTGGACTTTGTTTAGCAATTCGATATAACACAGGGGTACTAAATGCAATAAAGTCGTATTAATATTACATGTGTTCTTCTATACATGATGATTAAGTAACCTTAATACGTTTTCAGGTTGTGAACTTTCTTTTGCGCGGTTGGATCCAAAACCTTGAATCGGACGGTTCTGTGATGTTGCCTTTGCTTGACGATGGCCCAAAAGGCGCGATTGATGATGTCATCAAGGACTTGGAGTTTACTAGAGAAGGTTCCGGAAAATCGGTGAGGGTACAATTCCACGGATTCGATTTCTCGATGTGGAAATGGTTAAACTATCAAATCAAACCTATGTTCAAAGAAAAGGCTTAAATGAACTACATTGTTTAGAATCGCCACCATGTATATAACAAAATGTAAATTTTGTTGTGTCATGTACATTGATTGATATATTTGACCAAAAAAAATTAATAATAATATGGTATCAGCTAAGAGTGGAAATTGGATGGATCTGATCGAAATTAGTAATTTCGGAAAATCCATTTTTTTTTCGGAAGTGAAAAACTAGTACCAATTGCGTTCCTAAAGAAAATCGGAAAATAAAAAATTTGAATGATTTTTTTTTTAAAACGGAATTTTATAGGATGTGAATCAGCGAAATTCGGAAAATTCCAACTTTGTAATCACCTAAAATAAATAATAAAGAATTGGAATATTCGGAAATTGAAACTCGATCAAAATCGAAAGTCTCGTATTTATTCCAAAAAAATAAAAATAAAATCGGAAAATTTGAAATTCGGAATGAAAGATATTGTTTCAAGATAAATAAAATAAAATTGGATCGTAATCGGCAAAAATCTGAAATAGCATGATAAAAAAAAAAATCCTAATTAAAAAAAAAAAAAAAAAGAAACACGTTAAATTTAGGCCTATGTAAGCCCAAATACACGAAACAAGCCCAAAAATAAACAACCAAGAGTCGGCCCGGCCCGGCCCATTACAGAACCACACAGTTAGATTTTTAGGTTGGAATTTGGGACTGACTTCAGTTCTTCCCCTACATCAGATTACACACTTCTCACCAACAGCGAAAGGGGGAGAGAATATATACATACAGACTGACCGACCTATACGTATAGAGAGAGATGGGGAAGAGAGCGAAGAGCTCAAGGAAGGGAAAGAAGGAATGGAGGGCTAATATTAGCACCGAAGATTTTGAAGATTTCTTCGAAAAGTCCACAAAAGATGCTCTTTCCGGCGGTTCTTTGGCCGACGCCCCCAGCGATTCTCTCTTCTTCGTCGACAAATCCAGAGGTATGCCGGAAAGAAAAGAATAAACATTTATTAAAATCATTTTTATCGATTTTTGGGGATGAAATTGAAGTATGTACAATGATGATGTAATTGATTGCATACTAGTGATTTTATTGGCGTGTTTTTTTGAGTTTGAGTGTAATAATTTTTGGGGGTGAAATTAGGGTTTCTGAGCTCCATTGTAGTTAGTAAATAAAAACGACACTCGAAATGGAAATTTTGTTGTCTTAGTTTTATGGGGGTCAGACTGTTGAAGAATTTGGATTAGGGGTCAAAGTTGGAATGGAGTTTCCGATTTCCGCCGGTTCTGATTGGAAAAGTTTCGATTTTTGGAACAATTTTTTTCGTTCCAACTTCCGAAAATCCTATTTCTGAAAATTTCCGATCTATTTGGATTGGAATTGGAATTATATTAAAAATATTTGGAATTTCAGATTTCCGATCCGATTCAATTTCCGAAATTAATTTCTAAAGTTTTTGTGAATAAATATGTAACCATGTTCTTACCTTATATTTGGATATGTTTATGTACTTTTGCAAGATAGATAATATGGTCGTTTTGATGGAATTTTCTGATTTGATTATTTGTCCGAGTTTTCTGAAAATTGTTTTGACAGATGTAGATTTGACTGTTTCGATTGGTGACCTATTTGATGATGGAATTCTTTAACTGAAATAATTTCGTTCGTGTTGACAAGTTTTATGATATTTTGAGAGGAAATGAAATGGGTATTTATATTTCATTTTACATTTTCAGATCTTTCCGCCAGGCGAAAGATTGACAAAAGCAGAGAAAAAGTGCTCCGATGCGATAGTATATTGCAGAAAAACCCTTTTATTAAATCAATTCCATCTTCTATACAAAACAAGAAGACGTCGAAGAAAAACAACAAATCTGATAAAACGGCTGCAGGCAAAGATGCTGCAGGAGACAGCCTAATGGTAGAACTTTTCTATATATGTTTCGATGATGCAAATAATTTAATTAGTGGAACGATTTTTTTAAAGACTATTGTCCAATCATTTCAGGAAGAAACTGCACTTGATTCTGGCGTCGGTGATTTATGGGAAGATAAAGGTACTCTCGTCGTGTATATATATTATTTCGTGACAATTTTGATGACCGTATCCGATTTCTTATAAAGGTTATAATTGTTCTTTTGCAGGAGAAAAGAATGTCAAAAGTAAAAAGGTAAATTTTATCTGCTAATCAATATTTAGTCTAATATATAACACAAGTTTTTTCAGCCTCTCCGAGTAATTGCGTTAGCTAACAATTACTCGTGACAGAAATCCAAAACTTGTGTTATACCTGCCGTTGAGGTTGAACATCCTGGATGCTCGTTCAACCCCCACCCTGAGAGCCACCAGGTTTTTTATTTTTTGATAATACTTTTTCCGCTTTAGCCCATTTTTTTTTTTTTTTTTTGTTAATCGAAGAAGTTTACGATTTTGGTTGGTGTTTATAGGAAGCATTAGCTAGTGCTGTTGCAGATGAAATGCATAAAATATATCAACACGAACTGGGACCCGAGCCTGTTCCTTTGACTGTTCCTGGGGAAGCTGTTGATGAAGACGATGTTAGTATCTGATTCTTTAATTATAAACCAGTCACTTGAAATTAAATTGAAACAAACGAATTCCTCTATGTTCCTGTGCATTGACTTTTTCTATTCGTTTTCCATAAATCTTTTATATAAATATATCAGAAATATTTCCTTGAGGCGGGTGATGATGGAAGTGACGATGATGATGTTCAAAATGAAAATCTTATTGATAATGGAGATGCAGATGAAGAGAAGAGGTTCGATTTTTTATTATATATATTATTTTTCTGGTTTTCCTTCTCTCTTTTCTTGATTGAAAGACAAATAAGATCCTATGCGAAAATTGGTCTGTTTGGTATTAACTAGTTATTTGAATATAAAGTCACGTAATTAATTTGACAATCACGTCTATTTGTCAACTTGTACCTTTATCCAACCAAAAACAAGCAAATTGTGAAGTGGCGTCTTACGAGAATTTTAACACGTTTCGAATTTTCAATACTATGCAGGCCTAATAAAATGAAAAGAGTCACACGAGTCGAGTTGAATCGGAGAACCAGGCGAAAGGGGCATTTGAAAGCTGAAGCAGAAGCCAAAAAAAAGGGAAAATTCTCGAAAGACATAGACAGGTACCAAATTTGCAGTGTTCTTTAAATTAGTCTCCCGTTTCAAAATGATTGCTTTACTAACTTCAAATACATGAAATATAATAATTTTTTTTTCTCTCACTCTTGCGTTATACAGTTTACCTGATATACTGCAAGAAATAGCTAAAGAGGATGAAGAAAAAAGTAACAGACATCTCCGAAGAATTGTTTCAAAACAAGAGAGGCTGAAAGTTCGCCCACCTCGCCTAGGAAAGTACAAGTACGTCCTTCTACATTTTCTTCGACTTTTCTTTTCATCTTTTATAAATTTCGTTTATTATAGATAATTACTGTTCTACGATTTGGGTTGATATCAAAGTTCTCTGTTTCAGATTTGACCCTGCGCCTATCCAAGTTCTCTTATCTGAAGAGAAAACTGGTTCACTTCGGCAATTGAAGGTTTGTAGTTCCAACTTAATTATTTTATTTTTTTTTCCAGCTTAATTGATCGAAGACTTCAACTATTAATTATTATATATCTTGTGTAATTTTTGGGGAAAAAAAATAGGGATGTTGCACCCTTGTAAAAGATCGTTTTAAGAGCCTGGAGAAACGAGGATTAGTCGCCCCATCAAAGAAGAGCAGCAGGCCAGTTTTTATCTCTTTTATGGTTTTATTGCCGTTTTAATTACATGCGATCGTTTTTTTTTTGTTGTTGTTTTTAAAAATCGATTTTTCGGGTTGGGAAAATCGTGTTTAGTTTCTCATAGTTGATGGCCCTCTATGCAGGAAGTAGAATGGCTACTCTTAAAAGCTTGAAACATCTAACAGAGCTTCAAGAATGGCTGGTTTAAAGTGATGGTTCTTGGAATCATTTGCTATGTTGGAAATATAATTAAATGATAACGAAGGCATCTCTATGTTTTTATTTTATTTATTTTAAATTTAATGTAATGTATGACTTTTTTTTTTCCCTTGTGTTGGATGTTGAGCTGCAGAATGTATGTTAGTGTCACAGTGCTAAGTTGGAGCATCACAATTTTGATTATTTATTAAAAATGATGTTTATGAAATTTCCAAATATTAATAATAGAGTCTTACCAACCCTCATTAGGAGAGTTGGTACCTAGCTTTTACCAATAGGGTAGCGGTCTAGGGTTTGAGTCCCCCCTCCCCTACTTCCCCTTGTAATGGACTTGAATTTACTCAAAAAAAAAAATATAATAGAGTCTTACGTGCAAACTCTTCTAAGTCATCTTGAGAGCTAATTCTTAAGTAAGATATCAAACAAGAGCTTAATTAGCGGATCACTATTCTGAAATTGAAATGTTAAATGTCGTTTCAATTTTATTAATATCGTTCTAACTATTAATGTGAGTTTGACAATTTTCTAGTTTGATTTTGGCAAAATTCAAAACTCGAAAACTGTAGTCCTTTATTTTTGTTTTCTAGTCCGACTTGATTCATTTTTGTTTTCTAGTCCGACTTGAATCAGTTAAATTGGATATTAGATATCAGGTGCATAAATGCGTGCATAAATGCATGAACGAATTACGCTCCGAATTTTACATAACTCAAAACATTAAAAATTGAAGGCAGTATTTACTGATTCATGCATATCTTTCTAACCCGGTTTTACCAAGTTCGGCTAAAAAAATGGTCAAAATCGAGTTGAAGTCCAAACGACGTGATTTTAATTGGAACGACATTTATTACATCCCATTCCGAAATTGTCCACTTAGAAAAAAAATGAAATTCGATATGCGTAATACCTATATGCAAAATTGCAAGTGTACGATATTGTTCTTTATAAAATAATGGATTCAAAAACCAACCGACTCCAAATTTACTAAGTTTTGTAATTATACTATCCTAAATATTATGTCGAATATTATGTAAACGATCGAATTGAGTTGATGGTTGACTTTATACTAATTAGACGAGTGGGTAAACCCAAGAGCAAAACACACTATTTTTTTTTAAATAATAATTAACATAAACGAATTTAAGAAAAGATCATCAAATATTAAATATAAAACTCCAACATATATTAATTAGTTCCGAGAATGAAGAATGAGTGTAAACAACCGATCATACATATCAAACGACGAAATTTGATTAATTTAAATTATGCCAAAAATGTACCTTTTATTTAAATAATACTCAACTATATATATAAAATATATTTTTGAAACTGTTATATCATTTATGGTCTCATGTCATTTTTATTTTGTAAAATAATAAATAATCGGGTTCCCATATTAAGGGGCTATCAAAACTCAAATATCGTTTAAATAGTTTTTATTTGTATGGACAAATTACAACCATTCCCTGATGTATGGTCAAACTACGAAAAAATTCCTCATGTTTGGGTAACTACAACCGCCCCCTTCAACTATAAATCTTCTTAAACGTTCACCCCTACGGCGGCAAATTTAGTAGAATCCTCTAGATTACATGGAATATTCTCAATTTTGTACCCGTTTTACCCCATTTGAGCTCCACATATTGAAACAAGATGTGTTTCTTGACTTGTAAATATCAGATTGTGGTGCATCAGAAACTGCATTTTTTGCACATAAACGAGTACAAACTAGAGAAAATTCCACGGAATCTAGAAGATTATGTTGAATTCGACACCATAAGGGTGGAAGTGTAAAAAGATTCATAGTTGAGGGGGCTAGTTGTAATTATCCAAATATGATGGGGGGTTTTCGTAATACTTCAGAGGTGGTTGTAAATTGTAATTTACCCTATTTTTATTTATTTATTTTTAATTTTTTGATGTATGGAAATGCTCGTAAATCTGAGTGGGATGTCGACATATGTATGAAATAAAACAGATAAAACATTAAAGAAACCCCAACAAATAGGGCTTTCTTGATTCTTTTTTCAAAACTTATAAACACACACACACACATAATACAGATGAATATTAAGTTGATTTCTTTGGCTGTTTGTCGGAAAATCTAATCAAGATCAGGTAATAAAACACACACACACACACACACACACACACACACACAACTAGAGCTAGATTACACACTTCAAAATTCTGATTAATCTATAGATAAATAGATGCTTTATTTTTGTTCTTAATTTCACGGAATTGCCCCCACTTTAATTCTTATTCCCTTGCCCACTTCGAAATATTACACCGTGAGTGTGTGTAATTTTTGCTACTTTTTTTTTTTAATTAAATTTATAATTAGGGCATATATGCATAATGGATTTGGCATATTTTCTGCTGTTTGTAGGCAATTATTTAACATGGGTTTGGTGGGATTGTGTGGAATTTGTGCCAAAATTAGCTTTTAAGTTGGCAAGAATGTGATCATAAGTCAAGAATAGCTTTTTTTTTTGCTGCTGTTATATTTCAAGACTGCTTTTTTAATTTGTTTTCTTGATGGAGATGAAAGAAAATATGGATGATGGGGAGATTGATCTTTCAAACCTTCCGAATCCCGATTCTTCTAGAAACATCCGGGCATCCTTTTCGGAGGATTCTTCGTTTCTCGATAATTTGTCGAGAATTAATGCACAAGTATGTACACACACCCATATATGCAATCCGCCGGGGCCCGATGCTCCGCACACGCACACGTGTCACCACACCCACACAAATTTTATCCCGTCTTCGGACGATATCGCCCTTCACGAAAAACGGACCCCCGTCTCGAAACCTAGTAGTAGACCTTTGGGTAATCGAGAAGCCGTTCGAAAGTATCGGGAGAAGAAGAAAGCGCAGGAGGCTTACTTGGAGGAGGAAGTTAGGAAATTAAGAGATGCGAACAAGTTGTTAGTGGCGAAATTGCAGAGGGGCCCGGTTCTTGAAACGGAGGTTTTGAGGCTTAGGAGACTTTTAGTGGAGATAAGAGGAAAAATCGACGGTGAATTGGGCGACTTCCCATTTGGGAAAAAGTGTCGTTCGGGAAAATCGACAATGAATTAGGTGTTGATTGCGAAGCTAATACTTTACGAAATGTATCGGAAAGGAAAAGTTGTTCGTGCCGTCTAGTTCGCATAAAGAGGGCAAATAAATGTAAAGGCAAGTTTGTACTATCTCATGACGCTTAATAATCTTTTTGTATATTATGTAGTGTGGTTACAAAATTTATGTTTGATGTTTGGTTATAAATTTTTTGTACAACAAATGTTTGGATCGATGTTCTTGTCGAACACTTTCTATGCTGAGCTCGTCGCACTCGCAATGTGGACCCCTTCTTACATTAGAATGTGTAATGGTTTGTTATATATAAAACGTCCCAAATCGCCGATTTTGTTTTACGAAAATAGGACACGTTTAAGACCTATTTCACTTTTAGAATAACGCGCCAGTGCTACCTCCTCGTCTTAATATTGCGCCATGCGTCAAGTGAGTTGAGGTCATAACTCACTTGACCCGTGGCGCAAACGCACAGTACTAAGACGCAAAGTTAGCACTGACGCGTGATTCTAAAAGTGAAATAAGTCCAGTACAGAGAGTAGTTTTACAGGCCCGTTGGTACATGCTATTACAGTCATTATACAAAATATTAGTCAAAAAGGTCGGGCATATTTCAAAAGTAAGCGTAGCGTCGTTGTTCATAGTCGTTCCAAGTTTTGCCAAATAGTCAGCAGCACCATTTGTCTCTCTGTACCCAAACTCCACTTCGACAGCATCAAATTCAGTCAATCTCCTCCGCAACTCCTGCAGAAGTGAGTGGAGATCCCTGTGCAGCTGGTCCTTCCTGCTAAGAGTCGAGATTAAAAACATGGAATCAGTTTGGACACGGAGTTTTTTAATATCCAGGCTTCTGGCGAGGTTAATGCCTTCCACTAGCGCCCAACATTCAGCTTTATTATTAGAAACAATGCCTATATTCTTAGAAAAAGCATTAATAAATATGCCATTACTATCTCTGATAATACCCCCGATTCCGGCAGAACCGGGATTATGTTTGGATGCTCCATCAATATTAAGTTTAAACCACTCCCTTGGAGGGGGTTTCCAAGAAAGGGGGGTTTGGATAGGAACCGAAATATTGCGGGGTGGTTGGGATATCATCTGTTTGGCTAGAGTCCACAGATGTAAGGGTTTAAACTCTTTTTGTTGAAATCTTAATATAATAGTTATCCTTCTGTTCAAAAAAAATGAAGTGTGAACTATACCCGCTAAATATCAAAATTGAATTATCAAATGTTCATTTCATAGTTGAGATAATATTTTAAATTACATATAAAATTTATTTACTCTCAAAATTGTATTATTAAATGTTTATTTGATATTTGAGAAAATATTTTAAGTTACATTTAAAATTTATCAACTCCAACCATAATTATGCCACATGTCAATTTGTGAATGGTTAGTTAGGTGGCTATTTTTTAGGTAACAAACATAAAGTTTTTTTAGATCCAAAGAGGTGAAATACCATTATACAAACTCATTTTAATAACCTTTTCGTAGAACAAAATTTTTAAATTTTAGGAGTCAAATGGTAATTGCTTTTAAGAATACAGTATACATAGAATTGAAAATTTTGTCCGTTTTTGTTTTGCGAATACCGTTTGATTTTTATTTTTTATTATTTAAAATGATTTTTTTTTTTATTTTTTAGAATCGTATATTTTGTTTTGGAGAAAACAAATAATTTTTTTTATGGGCCGACCAATCCCTTAAATAATTGGGAATTATCTGGTTAATGGGCCTTCAATTTGAGCCTTTGAAGTTACTTTCGGCCCATATTTTTAATTTATATATGATTACGGATTTATTTATTGGTAGACGAAAAAAGATTAAATTATATTTATCTATTATTTGCATTAAGATTTTCAGATAGCAAAAAAAAAAAAAAAAAAAAAACAACATATCGTATAGTTTCATTTATATTTATTGAGATGCAACCATCAGAAATTGTTTTAGAAATTACCCAAGTAACAAGATATTCAGAAATTATATAGAATATTACTATTTTGGTCGTCAATTAATTAATTTATATTTTCACTACTTTTTGAATATTTAAAAATAAGACTATATATAGTTTGTCTATTTTAATAAATACTCCAGCAAGCCAAGTAAATATTTCAAATTTTGAAGGAAAAAAAATCAGAGATATTACAATATTGTAATCTCCTTAACGCCTACTTTGGTTGGGGAGTTCAGACATGATAAACTAAGACTTTGTTTGATGTTTGGTATCCTTAATAATTTGACGGATCGACCCGTAAATATTTATGTTATTGTGGCTTAACATATTTTTTTATTGGATTATCAAATGTACAATAATATGATTGAGTTTTATTGCATTATTTAATTTTATTCTGGCTAATCTTAAAAACCAAACGAGACATTAATAATTAATTCAGCATATTTTCAAATGAAGGAATCTATTAAATTATCTACTCATGTTAATTTATCAAATAGGAGAGATGAATAATAGAACTCAAAATGCACTATATAATTGGCACGTGAATATAAGATATTTGGCAAAGATATTTTTCCATATATAAAAGAATATTATATTTTTTGAGGGACCATATAGCAATAAAATATAGACAAAGTTAAAACATTATGGTATTTGACCCGACAAAAATATACCCATATGAGATTTTACGAGGCAAAAAAAATCAAAAAAGCTAACCCACGGGTGACGGGCCTGTCAAGCACGTGCACTACACGTGCACGATTTCTCATGGGAAAAAAAGAAAAAGAAAAAGAAAAAAAACAAAAAGAAAAGATATATTGTAAAGTCCACACACTCCAACGTGAAAATGGGTGAAAAGTCAAGAAAGCCCTTAAAGAAAATACAAAAAAAACAAAAAGGCCCTCTACAAATTTTCTTGATAAATTTCCACATCTTAATTAATTTGATACTCACCCACTTGTGACTACTTTTCATCTCCAATCATATCATAATTCATAATTTAAATGGAAAATAAATAAATAAAGTACTTTCAATTGAGCTGTAAATTATCAATTTTGGGGGTGGATTCTTGCCCCTACCCCACTTTGGAGAGTAAAGTGTTACTTTTATTGTGTTCTTTATATATTATTTATAATTTTTGATTGGACATATGCTACATTTTTTTTTTTCAATAAAGGAGGATTGTTAAATGGTCTTTTATAAATTTTTAAAGTTAATATAGGAGTGAAGTCAAATTTCAAAATTCTATTTTATTTTCCTTTTTCTATAAAAATTAAAAGGTTAGGTAAATTACAATCGTCCCCTAAGATAACGTTCATTTACAAAAAAAATCCCTAGTTGTTTTATAATTACATTTATTCCCCTGCAATTTATAGGTTTCTTACATTAACACTCTTTTATAAGAGATTGGATGTAAGAAACTTACAAACTTCAGGGGAATGAATTTAATTTTTAAAAATGAGGGTTTTTTTTGTAAATAGACTTTAATCAAGGAGGTTGTTGTAATTTACTCTTTATACATTTATCTTTGATGGAGAAAACATTCATGATATAGGACTAAGAATGATTTTAGTCTTTATAGTACTTAAATATAGGTCTCACTAGTCATAGGAATATGTTTATGGGGAAAAAAGAAATTTTATTTTTAATGCCAAAAATTAAAGTTTGGTCCCTCGTGCCCAAGTTTGTATCTTTTACTTTATTTTTTTAATTAACTTTTTGTACCTTTTGCTTTTGGCATTTCACAATCACTACCTTAACAATTGTGTAGAGTCCCTATACATGACCAAATAACAGGTCAAATCCAGATTTGGGCTTCAATCATAATCATGTTAGATCCGGTTAAGCTAACCATGGTTAGCTCCAAAAGGTTGGGTAAAATATCATTTCAAAAAATAAATAAAAATTTACAAGGAATAATGAGACATTAGTATAATGGGCTAGTGTCACGTGGGTTTCTTTGCTCAAGAATTTTTCATCTTCGTGCGGCCTGATTTGTACACAAAACAATCAATTTTATTCTCGTTTTTCTTCCAACAAACTCGAAATTTTTTTGATCATACATGTAAATGCAACAATCAACGAGTATGCAATGGAAAACAGACACACACCAGCACGTTTACAGGCGATGCTTAACCTTTTATACTATTTTCCATAAATATACAAAGGAAGACCAAAGTACACTTGGATAACTATTACAAGTTACAAGCGGCAGTTTCCACACATTCGATGCGCAGCTGCTCCGCAACTGCCCTCTAAAGCCGTCCAAGAGTTAATTGATGGGCGTCTGCCCAGTCAGGCCGTACGTGTGCACGCACCAAACGGCCGAGACAACCCAACCTTTTGCTAGACAACTCGCTAGTCTTGCCCGCACATGCTACCAGCCTTGCCCTCATCGGTCTGCCAAGACTGCGAGACTCGCCCATGCCATCCTTGCCTACAATCTTGTCCTGAGCTGGCAAGACTCACTCTTGACAGACCTAAGTACTGCCCATCCCTTGCTTGTGTCGGTTATCAAGCCACGCTCGTGCCCAACTATCAAGAACCATTCCTTCCTTTCTTGAACAAACAATTTCAATGTATGACCAACACCTGGCCACTTATTGATGATGTGTGGATGTCTTGTACCAACATTCACTTGGCACCATTTCCCGACCACAACTTGACCGAATTCTAGTTATAGCCGATGTCACGGACTAAAGGTCTAACAACTAGCTATTAGAGGATTTTATTCAAAATATTTTAGCTAATAAAAGAAAGGGAAAATCCTCTTTCAAAAGTATTATTAGTAATAATAATCACAACAACAATAAACATTTTTTTATAAGAAAAATATATTCAACAATCATTTATTGTGTTGTGGCCCTTGTTGTGGGGGCATTATAGGAAGACAATGACAAGAGAGAGAACAATATCACCACCCACCCTACCCCACCCCAATTCAAATCAAGATCACTTTATTTATTTTATTTTTTATTTTGAAGTACTACATGCTACTAAAACATACCAACTCTCTTTGTCTCTCCACTTTTATGTGGTTTTGGAGATTATACTAATCATCATAATCATTATCATTAATCATAATAATAATGGCAATTATTAAACTAGTACGAATTAATAGTAGCCCATATGCAATTGAATTTAATAATTTAATATCCGAGAAGAGTGATTGTAAAGGCATATACTATAAGAAGTAGACAATCATGTCGAGTGATCACCTCCAATTATTCTTGCCACTAATTATTATTATTATTAATATTATATATATATAATCCAAATTAATAAATATTTTACAATAGTATTTGTATATATTTTAATTAGACGAGCCTCCACAAAATATTATAAATTCAACACAAAATAAAGTTAGTAATAATTTTATACACATTAAACTTAACCATCTTACTTGATTTGTTATTTGATTAATTGAATAGGTGGAAAATAAATTTATTTTGAACAAAAGATATATAACATAATTCATATTATGTTTTTGCATCGAGTCCCTCGATCCTTAAGACCGGCCCTGAAATAAATTACTAAAAATAACTATATAAGATGCAAATTCATGAATTAAATTAAGATAAACATGCATGCACATAAGATCTTAAATACAAAATAAACATGCATGCACATAAGATCTTAAATACAAAATACAATAGAACCTCGATAAATTAATAACATCGATTAAATAATAATTTCTTCTGGTCCCGAATCGGTAAAAACACATCAAATAATTCGTTCGATAATATTTTGCTAAATTAATAGAATTTCACTAGTTTCGATTATATTAATTTATAAGAATTTAACTGCATAAATAATTATTGCTTAATTTGCAGCATAGGGAGGGGGCAAAAAATAGTTGATTGAAATGGGTGTTGACAAAACCCCTACAAACAAACAATTATTGGATCCTCATAATCTCATCAATCCGACCCACACCATGTTATTGTCATTGTCAAATGTGTTGTAAATAAGTTAAATTGTGTTGAATTGTTTTATTTATTTTTATTTTTATTTACTTTTGTTTGAGTTTTATGTTTTATGTTAAATTTATATATTATAGTTTGTGTATTTGACTGTTATGTTGACAAAATAAGACTGTTTAATTATAACTATCGATATGCATGATTGGACTGCCACAGTGAACCCCACTGTATTTTATATATAAAGCCTGTAACTAGAAGCCCAATATAGAAGCTCACTTATGAGACTATTAATTTAATGATGCAAAATTATTAAATTATTTTTTTTTTATTATTTTAGGGTATTTTTGATATTCAAAAAATATTTATCAAACATTTTAAAAGAGCTTATAAGTTCCTTAAACATCTCACAAGCTATTTAAGCTCAGCCATACACTTACGCTAGATTTGAGAACATCAAGCACAACTACATTGAATCTTGGCCCGTTAACGAAATACGAGCACGAGTCCTCGTATATTTTCACGCTCGCCCCCCACTAGGGGTGTAAGCGAGCCAAGCTCCCTACAACTATACAAGGCTCGAGCTCGACGAGTCTATTTTTTCAGCTCGAGTTCGAGCTCATTGTGTTTCTAAGGAGCTCGAGCTCGGCACAACCAAATTTTCGTTCAATTAGAAAAGTAATATTATTCTTTTTTATTTATTATTAATAATATCCATTATTATATATTATTAATATGTATTAAAAAATATATAAAAAAAGATAACTCTGACGAACAACTGAAATGAAGCTCGAGCTTGAATCGTCGAAAGCTCGGGCTCGTGAGCTCGATTTTTCGAGTTGAAGTACGAGCTTTTTTCGAGCAAGCTCCGGAAGCTCGGGAGCCGGCTCGACTCATTTGCACCCTACCCCCACTCCAAAAAAAATGTCAAAATATCATCAATTTCAAATTTCGTTTATGTCTGGGTGTGGGCTTTCAATTTATAGGGTTCGGGTATGAATATCAATATCGATCCTAACTTGATTTGTTGACAAAATGCAACATATTCGAAAATTATCCGACCCAGTCGATTTCAGGTCATAAACCGAATAACCCGATCCGAGTGCCGCTTCACCCCTATTTTAGAATGCACCCCCAAAATGGAGTGGATTAAAAAAAAATTAATAATGTAGGCAAGCTTTGTGTCAGAGAGGTTAGTGCAAAGAGAGAAAGAAGTTTGTGCACTATTATAATTCGAGTAATATATATATATATATATATATATATATATATATATATATATATAGACTATAGAGAGAGAGAGACACAGATCTGGATCCACTAAAAAGAACCCAACTCTCCACGCACCACTCTCATTTTTTTCTTTTTTTTTTCTTTTTTAATTTACTATAATATAATCCCCCACAAGACTTTCAAAAGTGTTGTATATGTTTTGGCCAAATTAGGGTCACACCCTGAGTTATGGTCAAATTACAAAATTCCTCATCTGTTAGGGTAATTACAGACACCCCTTTCAACTATGTATTATGTTACGAAAATACTCCTCAGGAGGTAAATTTAGAGATGTTAAATCGGTAAAATCGAACCGAATTTTCGGTACGCCAACATTTCATACCGTTTACCGAACTTAATATACGATTTGGTTTGGTAAATAAGCGAATTACATATATTTTATGTAAAATTATTTAAAAGAAGGGGGAGACTGTAATTACCCAAATAAGATGAATCTTTTCGTAATTTATCCATACCTTAGGGGTGGCCGTAATTTGCCCTATATGTTAATATGTTATTAATATGTATATGTATGTATAAAGAGAGAAACATGTTGGTACTTGGTAATAGTAAAGTTCTTGATTTAAATGTAATAAGTCCTGACAAACGTCCCAACCCAAGGACACCCATTTGTTGCCTAACTTATTGAGTTTCCCTTTTTGCAATATTTCTACTTTTTTGAAATTTAAATTTGAATTTCTCAATTTTGTTATTCTATATTACTACATCATACGATTTTCCATACAACACAACGTGTAATGAACTCAAACCCAAATGCCCGTATCGACAACAGAATAATGCTTACAGGCACATGGCTCGATCGCCCGTAATCTAAACAATCAGGTTCAAGTTGACCCATTTGAATGAAATAAATCCGAGTTGGTTGAGGTGCAAATTGGTCGCAAGACAAATAATCAGGTCTTAGTTGGTCAAAGTTACAAAGTTTGACCAATGAGAATAAAGTTTTATAAACATTTGAGAACCTTGATAATTTAAGGTACACAATTCATTATTCTCAAGTAGCATATCGAAATTTTTGATATAAAGCTGACTTGAGTGTCGAACGACTTTTTGTAACTGCAAGATGAGATGTACAACTATGCCACATCAATATATGCATCGGTAAATCATCCAATTTTTGCACATATTCACATGTATATGTTTTTATTGTGTACTGACGTCTATATAATTTATGGAGGTGTC